TTGAAGGTGGGAGAGAAAGTAATGCTTTTAAATGCTATAGCTTAATCTAGAAGAACATCAACAGGACTTTGACAATTATTTGTGCTAACTTATACATGTAAATGCCAGTTGAAAATTGTTGTAACACTTTATATTTGTCCATTTCCTTTATGGCTGATGCTTATTTCATTCATATTGTTAGGTAACAGGGATGCAAAGATTAGACATGGTTCCTGCTTTCAAGAAATACATGGTCTAGAGGAAGAATAAAATAAGAATATCAAATGGTTTAATAGAGAGTGATTAAGAACTGGGTTAACAATACACATAGACTATCATGTAAGCACAGATATTGGACATTTAAATCATAGTGTATCAGAGAAAGCTTCCCCGCAGAGATGTTATTTGTCTTGGGTCTTAAAAGATAAATAGAACTTAGAAATACAGGGAATGGAAGAACAACTTTGCAGGCAGTGGGAAACAGCAGAAGCCAAGCAACAAGTAGAGAAAATACAACACATTTGAGGAACTGCAAGTTGTTCTTCAGGTCCAGGGTAGCATGTATACATGAGGAAGAAGCAGATGAGGTTAAAAACTTGGAGGCCAAACCATGATTCTTACATGAGAAATCAAGAAGCTTGGCCCTTTCTCCTGAAAGCTGTAGGGAGAGATTGAAGCCTTAATCAGGGAGGTGTGGTGTGTGTGTGTGTGTGTGTGTGTGTGTTTTCTTGAGAAAATAAGTCAGACAAATGTGAAGGACAAAATGGAAGATAGAATGGATCAAATGTATACACATATTTTGGAACTATTGCAATAATCCAGGCAACAAGTTATGGAACCCTAAACAGAAGCAATAGCAATGTGAATAGATATGAGGAGAAAAGCTGAGGGGATATGTAAGATGTAGCAAACACAAGATAAAGATTGTGTGCATTTAGGGAGGGGATGGGAGGGAGTTTTTCTACAGAGTGGTGACCAAATCCTGGTTTGGGGAATAGCTTCATCAGAATGGCTTTAAAAAATAGAGTCTTTATCTTCCCCTCCATAAATCCTGACTTAGCAGGCCTGGGGTAGCAACGGGACATCTGTACTCCTTGGAAATTTCTGAGTTCATTCTGCAGTAACAAGGATTGTTATTGCAATGCCTAAGTTTGTGGACTGGATGCCCATAAATATGAGATAATATGATAATAAAGGTTGAAAGAGACTTTTGACTGAGGCAGAAGAAGGATGTGGACAAGTTTACTTTTAGATCTAATTTGGGCTACCTGTAGGAAATCTGGGTTGAGCTAGGAATATTGGTTTGGAACTCAAAAGAGAGATTTTGTTTGAAAATAGATGGTGGTAGATGAAGCTATGAGTTTGGGAGGTCATCCCAAAGGATGTATGGAATAATGAAAAAGATGGCCTGAGCCCTTAGAAACACTAAGGATGAGGAACACTTCCCTCTTTCAAGTATTTAGGGAGTAATTGGAGGAAGAAGGAATCTTCAGAGAGTAGCAAAATGGGACTGTTGTCATAGAAACCAAGAGAGGTCAGGGTTTCCGTAGACAGGAGTGGTCAACATGAATAAGAGTTATAGACATTCAAATAAGGTAAAAAGAGCAGAAAAGGGGTCACTAATTGATAAGATGGTGACCCTGGTGGCCTATGAGAGTGGCTCTAGTAACAGAGTATAGAAGGAAGCCAAATGATGGTAAATTAAGAAGGAAAAGAAATGTAAGAAATTAGAAACCCTAAGTAAAGATGAGCATTTTAAGAAATGTGTCAATCAGGGAAGATGAGAGAGAATAATAGCTAGTCAGGTTAGGGGAAGAATTTTTTTCTTTTTTAAAACTAGAAGAGGGGGAGCCTGGGTGGCTCAGTGGGCTGGGGCCTCTGCCTTCAGCTCGGGTCATGATCCTGGGGTCCTGGGATCGAGCCCCACATCGGGCTCTCTGCTCAAGAGGGAGCCTGCTTCCCCCTCTCTCTCTGCTTGACTCTCTGCCTACTTGTGATCTCTCCCTCTGTCAAGTGAAGGAATAAAATCTTTAAAAAAAAAAAAAAAACTAGAAGAGGTGTGAGAATGCTAAGGAGAAGAAATTGTGAAGAAAAGAGATTGACAGATTCCAGAGAGAGGGTGCAAACAGTGGAGGTAATTCTTTTAGGAGCACAGAGGTAATAGAGTCTAGAATACCCTGGGAGGGATTAACTATGGATGCGAGAGGCAACACTTCCATTAAAATTAAAATACAAGTAAGATGCGAATGGATGCAGATAAGACTTTGGCACAAGAAAGAGGAGTTGAAGAAGTTCTTACTTGATGGTCTCTGTTTTCTTTCTTTCTTTTTCTTTAAAAAAAAATCTTATTATTTATTTATTTTATTTTAGATGGGGGGGCACTCACAAGCAGGGGCCAGAGGAGGAGCAGAGGGAGAGAATCTCAAGTGAAAACTGTACTGAGCACGGAGCCCACAGGTGCTTGATCTCACAACCCTGAGATCATGACCTGAGCCAAAACCAAGAGTCAGTTGTTTAAGCAACTGAGCCACCCAGGAGCCCGATGGTCTTTGTCTTCTTAGTGATAGAGCCCATCTGCCTTGCTCAGGAAGATAATGTCTGCCAGGGGCCAACTTCCTCAGTAGATTTGGTGGAAAGCCTAGCACAGTATTTCTCAGGTAATACAGTTAAATAACCAAATGAGGAAATAACAATTAAATGTTTACCATCTGATGATAGTATATGGTCAGAAATAGAATTAAGTAGAAGATGTGCTCATAGAAATAGAAGTATGAAGTAGAAGTATGAAACCAACATTCAGGTTTAAAGTAGACATTAAAATTTAAAAAAAAGAATCAAGAAAGGACTAAAACACAGAGAGTTATATTGAGGAACACGTAATACAGTATTTTGCATTAAAGGATTAGTTTTTAGTTTATGCAGAACAGTTTGAATATGTCATTGTATTAGACCTGCCTGATGCTCCTTTGCTCTCAGTGTTTATTTGAAGAGATATAGCTAAGCCCTTGGTATCCTTGGTTTAATGATGAAAGCAAGCAAGTTAGTCTGTAGTGTTTCCTCCCCTCTACTTTGTCCCAGGGCCATTTATCCATTAGAAGCCATTGGCACACTGCCTAAGACCCACAAAAACATTTGGAAACTGGAAAAAAATTATATATATATATATATATATATATATATATATATATATATATTCATATATGTATGAAAAAAAGTGTAGGCTTCAAAATATGAACTACAAAATAAAACTCCAAAACTAAAATTAATAAAATTCTGTCAATTTCATTAATGGTCAAATTTAGTATTCATGAAACTGTCACTGACACTTGAAAATCATTTGTTGCTTGAATTTTCTCACTTCAAGAAAACCTTGTGACATGCACAGTGATTTGCTAGAAATCATACCATACCTAAGTAATTTACCATAGCAAAATAATTTTAAATAAAAAACAATTCCTTTAAATTACAGCTGTGTGTGTGTGTGTGTGTGTGTGTGAGTGTGTGTATAAAAGGTGAAGATATGGTGCATCCTAAAATGTCTGGTGTGATGTTGAAGATGTATAACAAGGACATCTTAGTCTCTAAAAAGACCTGCTTTCTGTTCCCTCTCACAAGTAAGCTGTGTGCCTCAGTTGTCCCTTGTGTAATTTATCTCTTCCCCAAACTGGGAAACCCATTCACTTCAGTATTGTAGTTCTTGCAGTTATTTGCCTTTCTATTCCTTATTGAAAAATTAAAATCTTTGTCCCCAATAAAAGAAATTTTGGTGAGGAATATGGGAGCCTTCTCTACACCCTTGAACTCATATTATGCTTTAAGGAAAAAACAGAAACTAAAATTCCTTCAGTTGTTTTTAGGATCTATGAGAGGACTGGTTCCTAGGTTGGAGAAGACAACACATAGTATCCAGATAATCTAGATTCTCTTCTAAAATCTGTCCCGTACTCTTCAATAGGAGACTTAGAAAATTTGAGGTACTCATAATTGTGCTAACACACTTGCCTACATACTCCCTCTCCAATCTGCAACTTCAGGTTATATGGTTTGTTAACAAGGCAAACAATCCGCCTGCAGCCCCATGGCCCAGAAGAGTCCAAGAGTAGAAAAAAGAAACCAAGTACTAAATAATGTGAGCTTTTGGCATAGAATCCTTAATCCCTGTCTTTTCATGCATTATTGTTTTGGGAAACATTGATTGAATAATATATATTATCGGAGAAATAGTGTAGATATTTTTGAGCTTGGAAGAACCTTAGTGTTGACATTGATGTTCCTTGGAAATATTGAGGAATTCAGTACTTTCTGTGAACCATACAGTGTTTACATTTAAATGCACTGGAGCACATTCAATCCACTGAGCAAAAATCTAGATGGAGCTTTGGGTTAACGTTTGCCTCTACTCTACTCCTAGCTATTTGTAGTGCATTGCAAAGGTACTTTGTGTCCTGATGTCTAACATTTAGGTCCCCAAGCCTAATACGAGCTGCCTGACCCCAGGTGTAATTTTCAGCAATATTAATTGACGAGAGATTTTGAGTTATTAGGAGAATAGGATCATCCAGCTTGGCAGCCGCTCTCTCTGTGTGACTGATCACTTTCTAAGTGCTGTATTAATAGTCTTGGATCATTGACTAATTTAATTTGAATGTAATTAATTATACAAATGTGAACTCTTCACATTTACTTTCATTAAAATTATATCACAACAAAAAGAAAATAGGTATAAATCAAGCCACGTGTCCTTGCTTCCAGTATGAGTCACATCATACCTTTTAACTTTCCTAAAGTCCACACACATCTGGGAGTTCTGATCATGTGACCTTCTGTCTAAAAAAAACTTGGATACCTCTATAATCCCATTTTTATTCCATAATCTATACAGTTCTCTTTTGTACCCCAAATAGTAATGTAAATGTGGGTCTCTTATGCCTAACATATAATCAAATTATATGTTTAAATTTTATTTGTTTTGGAGATTTCTTCTCTTTTCTCCTTTTTAAATAGGAATTTACTGACAGAAAATGGCAGAAAAAATCTTAGAGAAGTTAGATATTCTGGATGAGCAGGCAAAGATACTCTTGGCCAGAAGAGCAAAGGTTTGTAAATGAAAGCTAAAATTAAATTTAATCATTAAAATATTATTTCAAATGTGAATGATTTTTAATTTTTAGTTAATGATGCATTAGTTTGGAGATATAAGTTAATTTGTAAAAAGCAAATAATTATATTAGTTGAAAAAGTAGACCATGTCAGTGCATACTATAAAGAATTAATTAGATATACAAAGTAACTTCTGGATAACTGCCATATTTTTTTTTCTTTCAAGATTTCATTTAAATTCAGGTGAGTTAACATATAGTGTATTATTAGTTTCAGGATAGAGTTCAGTGATTCATCAGATGCATATAACACCCAGTGCTCATTTCAACAAGTGCCCTCCTTAATACCCGTCATCTAGTTACCCAAAAGCCACCTCCCTTCCAGCAACTGTCAGTTTGTTTCCTAAAGTTAAGAGTCTCAATGGTTTGTCTCCCTCTCTGTTTTCCTTCTGTTTTATTTTTCCTTCCCTTCTCCTATGTTCGTGTGTTTTGCTTCTTAAGTTCCACAGGAGTGAAATCATATGGTATTTGTCTTTCTCTGACTGACTTATTTGGCTTAGCATAATATTCACTCTAACTCCATTCACATTATTGCAAATGGCAAGATTTCATTCTTTTTGTTGGCTGAGTAATATTCCATTGTGCGTATATGAGTATGTTTCTCTCTATGTGTATATATATCCATTCATCAGTTGATGGACATTTGGGCTCTTTTCATATTTTGACTACTGGATAGCTGTCATATTATATTAGGTTATAATGTATCTAAGGTGATGAAGATAAAAAAAATCAAATAGGCAGTCAAATAGTAAATATGACTACTATAGTTCTCACTCATATTTTCTAACATATAAAAAGTTATTTAACTGGTTTATTAAAAAGAAGAAAATATTTGGTATAGTTACCAAATTAAAAATAAAACTCATAAAATTAAAAAAGGTGGGACTTTTATAAAATTCAATAAAAATATTAATAAGGAATATAGTTTTGGGGATGCCTAGGTGGCTCAGTTGATTGAGCATCAAGCTTGGTTTCAGCTCAGGCCATGACTCCTTGGTAGTGGATGGAGCCCTGCATCTGGTTCCCTGCTCAGCAGGAGTCTGCTTCCCCTCTCCCTCTTCCTTTGCCCCTGCCCCTCTGCCCTTATGTGCTCTCTCTCACAAATAAGTAAATAAATCTTAAAAAAAAAAAAGAATATAATTTAAAAACCAGGTTCTTAGCATATATGAGCAATGTAATTTGGTTACACAAAAATTTGCAAAATAATATAGCAATGTGAGTAAATGAAACAAAGAGCATCAAGTCCAAGAAATCAAGGAAAACAGCACAGAGAGGAATTCTAAAGTGACTGAACATATTTGTGAACCTGAAAATGAAAATTTTGATGCTTGAATAGAAATTTGATTTTCTTTTATTCAGAAAATAGAGAAATATAGAAAAAACAATAAATTCATTCTGTTATCATTACCCAAATTTTGAAATTGCAAACTAGGAGTAACTTACTAAAGCAACCATATTGGACTTAAGCACTCCAAAGTTCTCTCTCTCTCATTTTTTGTTTAAAATGAAATGTACTTTAGAAAATATCAGAGATAAATCTGTTTAATTTGTCCTGAAATTCCCTTTTATATATGATTAGTCCTTGTAATTCTTACCTTTTACTAAAAACTTCCTTTGTGCAAAGCATTTCAATGCATTTTCTAATTTTGTGTTACTATGCCCAATTTATGTATTACTGAGAGAGGATTCTCTGGATATTCTTTTGAAAGTATATATAATCAAAATGTAAAACTTTTCTTATTTTTTTAAAGTATAAAATTAAAACATACTTTTGGAAATAAGCAACAAACATATACATAAATTATACTTAAAGAAGGGTGCCTGAATGGCTCAGTTGGTTAAGGGTCTGCCTTCAGCTCATGTCATCATCCCAGGGTCCTAGAATCCAGTCCCACATAGGACTCCCTGCTCAAGGGGGAGCTTGCTTTTCCCTCTCCCGCTACCCCTGCTTTTGCACATCTTCTCCCTCTCACTCTCTCTCTCTCTTCCTCTGTCAAATAAATACATAAAATCTTTAAAAAATTATACTAAAGGAAAATTACGTAAAGAAAAATTGTCTCTGGCCTCTTTAACTCTTTCCTCTTGAGGCAAAAAACACTTAGCAGTTTGGGTTTATCCATCCACATTTTCTTTTGTGCTCTCACAAAGATATACAAATATTATATATGTATGTATAAATCTATATATCTTTACATATACTCATAAATATGCAGTTGCACATACACATACATACATTTATGAAGGTGAATTGCCTCTATTTTCTTTTTTAATGACCAAAAGATGAGATAACAATATATAAATCACTTTGGCGCTTCTTTATTTTTTTAAAACTTTTTATTTTGAAATAATTATCAACTTATAGGAAGTGTCAGAAGGACTATAGAGAATCCCATGTCCCTTTCACCCAGTTTCCCCCAGTGGTGACATTTTGTATGGGTTGTGTACAGTATCAAAACTAGTATGAGTCCCAACCGATGTTAACACTCGTACATTGCTCGTAACCAGACTACAGACTTTATTTAGTTTTCACCTGTATTCATTTGTGTGTATAATTTTATTGATTTTTATCCTGTGATAGATTTGTATGATCACTACCACAATCAAGGTCAGCACATTTTCATCACCATAAAAGAAATCCCTCATGTTACTTCTCTGTATTTGTATCTATACCCCCACTCTACTCCCCGTCTACCCCTGGCAATGGCTAATCTGTTCTCCACCTCTATCACAGTAATTTTGAGGATGTTATGTAAATGGAATCATTCAGTATGTGAAATTTTGAGATTGACTCTTCTTCACTAAGCATAATGCCCTTGAGGCCCATCTGAGTTTTTGCATGAATCAATAGCTTTGTTATTATAAATAATATATAGATTTTATTGCTGAGTAGTATGCCGTTATATGGATGTACAGAGTTTCAATCACTCACCCACTGAAGGACATTTGGGTTGTTTTCAGTACTTTGCTTTTAAAAATAAAGCTACTTAAAAAAAAAAAAAGCTTAAAGAGAGCTGCTCTGTATATTTGTGTACAGGTTTTTGTGTGAACGTAAATTTTCATTTCTCTAGGGTGGACACCCAAGAATGTAATTGTTGGGACAATTTCTGTCTCTTAAATTCAACAAGGTTAAGGGCCAAGGTTTGATGTGAGTTCCCCTTCCCTGTGTCTCAGTGTGGAAACTGCCTTTAATAAGCAAGCTGAGCTATTGCGGGATTTACCTCATTTGTTTCCCTTTCCTTAGGGATTATGGTTCTCCCCCCACCCCCCCCCCCCCCCCGCCTGCTTTCTAATGCCTGATTACAGTTGTTTTCATATGTTTTGTCTGGTTTTCTAGTTATTTACAGCAGGAGGGCAATTCCTATAGCGCTTAATCCTTCTTTGGCAGAAGCAAAAGTTCCTATCCTTTGACTTGCTTTCAAATTTTTCATCACTTTATTCCTCTATGCAGTGCTGGAGATTTTTTTAGAAAAGATTTTGGCTCCTTAACTAACTCGTTAGCTATGTCCTTTTCTCTCCTCAGTCCATTTCTATAAATATTTGAACAAAGTCTTTTGATTGCTTTCTTAACTCTATTTCTGGCTCATGCAACTAGACAAATGTTGCAGTGATTCGCCTCGTTTGTGGGGACAGCAAGAGCAGCAGGTTGGAGACCATGTTGCTCTCCTTCCAATAACTCAATGTATGAGTATTGTCTTTGCTTAATTTACAGGTCGTTCTGAAATTCTAAATTTTAGAATTAGGAGGGAGACTTCATGATCATCTCATCCAAAGTCTTCTCATTTCATGGTTGGGAAAAGAGCAGCTTAGGTCACACAGCAAAAGCATTAAAAAATGTTGGTACACAAGGCCCCTAGTTTTCAATCTGTAATATTTCTCCATTATTGACTGGCACATGAATTCTGTCGTGTGTGCATAAAGTGAGACTAATTTCGTTCCTTTCCACACAGGATTTTCCCTCTATGAAAAGAGCTCATTTTTTCACAATGCTGTACTTTGGCTTTCCTGCAGAAAAACACGCTTCAGAGTCAAGGAAAGAAAAATACTTCAGTTACACCCCTGACGTTTGACTTTCAGTTAGAATTTGAAGAGGATATTGTTCCATTCATATCTAAGAAAGTACCCAAGATCACAGGAGACAATTTATACAGTATTAAAAAAGGAAAAAGGTAACCATCCTAACTACCTGAGACTTTCAGTTTGGAGTTTTAAAGCACTACTGTAGATTTGTCTTAGATTATGTAATTTGTTTTAAATGTAAGCTTTGTCTAACGCAAGTTATGTTTTATAGTGCTTATGAATTACAACATACTTGATCAGCATTCTGAATAGTCATCATTTACAAAATATTTATTATAATATTTTACTATTACAGATGGTAATTAGGTACTAATTACAATTCTGAATTTTTAAAGAAAGACTTGTCTTGAATTCTATTACATTACCCCAAATTAATGTTAGGTTTTATTTCAAGTTTTAGACCAACAGACTGACAAAAGAAGTCCACGTAGAAAATCAAGAAGTCAGTTTCTCTGGTCCTTACAAGGGGTAGCCTGAGTATGTCATACTTGGTTTTCCACTGGCATTCTGTATGTGCACTACGCCATTAATTTTTCTAGGTATCAGAAATGTAGAGGAGAGCCCAGGCAAAAGAAGTAATAAGATGTAGAATTAATAGAACTTCAGTCGTACATTGGTGGTGGTGGTGGTGGGGATACTGTTCTTACCTCATTTATTCTGTATAACCATTCAGTGTGTTCAGTGAAGTTTTACAGATGAGGAATCCATCGGAGTGAGGTGAAATAACTTGCCCAAGGTCACACAGATAAGTGGCCCGAGGGGAATTTAAACTCTAGCAGTCTGATTTCAGAGCCTGTGCTCTCCATCATCACCACCCTGTTCCGAATGTAGAATGACTTGGGGCTTCTGGGCTTGGTAACTAGGTGTATTATGACACTCTGTACTTAGGAGGAGAACATATTATGCAAAGCACATTGGGGTGGATAAGAGGATTAGAGTGAGAAGAGCTAGGTTTTATTTTGGATATATTAAGTTTTAGATGTCTGAAGGTTAATCAGAAGGCGGGGAGCATTCTTCCAGGAAGCAACCCATTCTTGCAGCGAGTCCTCTTTAGCTATGACAAAATGATTGCTTAAATAACAGAGCACAAAGCAGAAAGTTTCTGTCCTCATATCAGCAATGCTCTCCTGGTTTCATTGATTATATTGGATAGATTCAGCTCCTCCATCTCGTGAGATGCAGTTCCTGGACTTTTAAGTTATGGTAATTATAATTTAGGATACTAGTCTCCACCAGTGCTTGCAAACCGCGAGCCTACACCGAGCTAAGGTGTCAGATCTAATTCATACAGCTTTCAGCTTAACCTAAACTTTATGTCCTAACTGCCCCCACCTGGACCAGTGACTTTCTGGTCACTGCAGGCTTCTTTCATTTCTGACCTCTAGCCTCTTTGCGATTCAAAGTGTGGTCTTCCATCCAGCAGCATCCTATCACCCCAGAACTTGGAAATGCAGAATGTCTGACCCCCTCCCAGACAGAAGCCGCTATTAACAAGATCCCCTCTGTGATTCCTGTGAACACTAATGGTAGAGAGGCACTGCTCTAGCCCAGTGAGTCTCAAACATGGAGGGCTCCTTCAAATGCAGATGCTGGGCTGCACCTGCAGAGCTTTTGATTCAATAGATCTGGCTGGGGCCTGATCATTTGCATGTCTTTTACTTTATTTTTTTCCCAGCATAACAGAATTCATTGTTTTTGCACCACACCCAGTGCTCCATGCAATCCATGCCCTCTCTAATACCCACCACCTGGTTCCCCCAACCTCCCACACTCTGCCCTTTCAGACCCCTCAGATTGTTTTTCAGAGTCCATAGTCTCTCATGGTTCACCATGTCTTTTGAGTCTCCAGGTAATGCTGGTGCTGCTGGGCCTGGAACCATCCTTTGAGCTCTGCTCTAGCTTATGTGCTACTCTAATCTTCCTGCCCGGCGCCAACATCTGTTCATTCTGTTTTTTTCCCAGGGTTTGTTGAAAATCATAGCAACTATCAATCTGGTGCTGTGGTCACCTAATTTGTGAAATCTGCCCAGGTTTATTTGTAGCTGAGCTTTGCTTTCAGAATAGTAATTTTTAACCCATCTGTCCATTAGTATTACGTGGGAGCTTTAAAATAATTGGATTCTACTTTCATTAGTTTGGAGAGAAGCTCTGGCATTAATATTCTTAAGATTCCCCAGATGATTCTTACATAAAGCTGAGATTGAGAACCATTCAAATTCTTAGGGCTTCTTTCCCACTTGCCCCCAGAGACAGGTTTTCCATGTTACTATTAGTTCAGGATTTCTGCATTTCTCTTGGATAAATGGGAATTGATAAAATATTAAAAATATCTCTTGATTAATCTGTATATAGTCTCTAAGATTTCTCAGTAAACCCAAACCTACTCTTCTCTGCAACTTTTCACAATTGTATGTTTCATAATTGGATGTTTGTTATGACAAAATAGTCATACTCATTTTACCAAAATCCCTTTAAAAAATTAACTGACCTCTACCCTGAAACAAATAATGTTATATGTTAATTTATTCAATTTAAATTTAAAATATAAAAATTAAAATAAATTAATTAAAAAATAAAAAATTACCTGGAATAAGGAATTTTTAAAAGAGAGACAAAGTGTTTTCTCCATTACCTAAGTATTTAGTACTGGATTATCAGCTGAAAATGGAAATTTTACCACTTATAAAGTGGTAAGAAATAGAAAACAAGTTAGGGGCAAAGAGATAGATTAAGAGTATTTAAATTGTCACTGAAAATTACAAGAGTACTGAGAATACAGTAAAAAAAAAGAATATTTTTTCTTTAGATTCATAGATTAATAGGAACTTCTCATTAGAAGAATTATTTTCCTAAAAATAGGGCGCCTGGGTGGCTCAGTCGTTAAGCATCTACCTTCAGCTCAGGTCATGATCCCAGGGTCCTGGAATGGAGCTCTCTGCTCAGTGGGAAGCCTGCCTCTCCCTCTCCCAGTCCCCGCTGCTTGTGTTCCCTCTCTCACTGTGTTTTTATCAGATAAATAAATAAAATCTTCAAAAAAAAAAAAAAGAATTATTTTCCTAAAAATAAATCTACAATGAGACTTGTCAAAAGAATATTCCTTTTAGAAATAGTTTTATGACAATAGGATAAACTTGCATATAAAAAATTTAATTAAACACGAATAGAACGTTCACTTGCAGCCTATAGTGAAATTTAATTGGCCAAATTCCTTGTTCCTTTAGTTTAATACTCTGTGTGACATTAGTCTGGCATAGAGATGAAGAGAATGAGGTTTATAGGCCAGTTGCCAGGTTTGTACTTAACTTTACTTCCTACTAGTTGTAATTTTGGACAAGTTATATAACCTCTTTGTGCCTCAGTCTCTCCTTATGCCTCAGTTTCCTTGTCTTCTCATCATTATCCTGAGAATAATAATAGTATATAGTCCACAGGGTTGTTGTGTGAGTTAAATGGGTTAAAGTTAAATGGATGTGAAGAGTTTAAAATTCTCCAACATTCAGTAGGCACTCAAAAAAAAAAAAAAAAAAACCCCAGCTAATACAAATATAAGCTGTATTTTTGAAATATGCAGTCATATATTCCAGTCATTAAAAGTAAGATAGTAATGAGATATACAAGTCATGTTTACATATGGTAATCATTTCTAGAATCTTAGGTAAAGTAAAACTTACAGGTAAGTAGGGGGGATGAGGTGGGAGCCGGAAGAATAGAGAAGAGGGAGAATTTTATGTGAGTGGAAACAGAGATTCATGCTTCGCTTGCTGCTGCCCACACTCTTTCTCACTTATGTGGGCGCAGGCTCCTTCAAGGTCCCACGAGGATTCTGGGAAGGTAACAGCCTCAACTCTAGCTCTCTGCGGGGAGAGTGTCACTACTGGGCTGAACATCCCTCTTCTCTGTAGCTGGAGGAGAACTCCTACTTATTGCTCATACCTGGAGAAACCTGACATTCTAGAGCAGAACTTCTCAACAATGACTGCCTACTTGAGAGGTTTTGGAAAATATGCTGAGTCCTGCCTAGAGATTATGATTTAACTATTGGGGGAAAGTTGAGGTATCCAAACACCCTAGATGATTCTAATATACAGCTAGCAGTTTGAGAAACATTTCTAGAGGTCTCTTCATTTGTCACTCCCTTAGTCACCCTCTTAGAACAGCTTATTTGTGGCTGATACACGGCAAAAGAATCTTATCTCTCTCTGACTGATATTAACTGGGTCTCAAATAGCCTGACCTTTATAGGTGCTGAAGAACCCACATTCACTGAAATGAGAGGTCAAAGAGAAATCACAGGTCATTCATACGAAGGAGGGAGACAAAAACAAACAATCAGAACACGTGACTCCTAATAAAGCAGATTATGGAAGAAACAGAAGAGAACTTAAGAAAACATTTATCTTAAGGGCACAATTAATCAGGGATTTAAAAATAAATGAAGGGATTTAAAAATATTTCTAAAACAAAAAGAGATTTAAGATAATATTTCTGGGGACTCCTGGGTGGCACAGTCAGTTAAGCATCCATCACGTGGTTTTGGCTCAGGTTATGACCTCAGGGTTATGAGATTGAGTCCTACATCAGGCTCCATACTCAGCACAGTCTGCTTAGGATTCTCCCTTTGTCTCCTTCCGCCCCTCCCCCTCCTCTCTCTCTCTTTCTCAAATAAATTAATCTTAAATATATATGTTTCTAAAGTCAAAAATTGAGTAGGAAAATGAAAATAAAATACAGGTGAAAACTGGATTGATAATCTAGAAGGTCAAATAGAGGCACAATCTGGAGAAAATAAAAAAAAAGAAATGGAAGTCAGATTGAAAAGAGATACATAATAGGGTTTTAGGGTATTTGACCTATAAATATATACTTAATACATAAATCAGGAAAGTAAGAAATATGGTAAGGAAATAAATACTAGGAAAAAATGCCCTTTTTTTGAAGACATACTTGAATTTTCAGATCAAAAAGGTTACCAAGTGCTAGACTTAGAGTATAATTATTTAATTATTTATTTAATTCCAAAGGCAGAAAAGAATTGGTTAATAACAAAGGAAAGGAAAGCAAATGAGTTTCATACATCTCATCTACAACT